GGGTCTGCCCAGCTGAGCAGGGGGCAGAGGGAGAGGTGACGTGATGCGTGTGGAAGCCCCTCCCCAGGCAGATACCAGCAGGCACTAGCGCTGGCGCTCTCATCTAGCGGAGATGGGACGAACCAGAGCCAACGGCTGGAAGCTGCAGCCCGACACACTGAAATCAGAAACAAGGCACCGATTTGGAACAAGCTCCCAAGGGAAGGGTTGGAGTCTCCAGCTCCTGGTGGCGTCACATCCAGCCTGGGGCCTCCCTGGGGGGGGGCTTTAGTCAAATGCAAAGTCCTGGGGGCTCAGCACAAGAGTAACTGGGCAAAATATTCCAGCCTGGGCTGTACAGAGCTCAGACAAGATGATCTGATGGTCCCGAACTCTATGAATCTATGGCCGGATGCAGCGCACAGAACCGGGACAGCAGGGCAGAGAATCATAGAAGATCAGGGTTGGAAGGGACCTCAGGAGATATCTAGTCCAACCCCCTGCTCAAAGCAGGACCAATTCCCAACTAAATCATCCCAGCCAGGGCTTTGTCAAGTGTTACCAGCTTTGCCCATTACTTTGGGGTTCGCTCATTTATTACGGTTACTCTTTCAGGGGGGAGAGTTCTGTATGTCTATCATTGTACTGCCTGTGTCACGTGTGTTCTCACACGGAGCTCTGCTTCTCCTGCTGCAAGTCCCCTCCCAATGGAGCTTCCTGCAGGACTTAAGTGCCCCCAGGCTGGGTTCTGTTGCGCGCGCGCACACACACACACACACACACACACACACACGCACTCCCGAGCTGACCCCTTATATGTCCCTGGACTCAGTAGTCTGGGTTGAGCAGCACCTCCAAGCTGCCACCCTCGTATGTCCCAGGTTCAGCACGTCCCTGTCCCCACTGTCACGTTACAATTGTTCTGGTTGTAACCCACTGGATGAGCAAACCCCACAGGATTTCTGGGCACTGCCGGGATCTTTGAGCTGAGATATGAGGATCGTCGCTTCAGAGCGAATGAGGAAACCAAAAAACACCCATGGGGGGAGGGAGGGGAGAGAAAGAGAGAGAGAAGCAACCAGCTTAACCATGAAAGTTATTTATTGCCGGTAATAACCAGAGGGGAGCCAAACAAACAAAACAGTGACAATATTAAATCTAACTTATAACTGATCACACAAGTCAGGGTCAAAAGGCTACACCGAGAGACAGAGAGAGAGAGAGAGAGAGAGAGAGAGAGAGAGAGAGAGAGCGCGCTGGGTTCTCACCACTCTGTGAACTTGAATCGATCGGGGGTCCCAGGTGGTGGTGGTAGCTGAGGGTCCGGAGTGCTGGAGAAGGCAGAGCCCCCAGCACGTCAGTCAGGAGAAGATGAAGTCCCAGTGGAACTGATGCAGAGTTTGGATCCAGGCATCAGAGCATTTGCGCCTGGGTCGGGGTTTTTGTAGGGAAAGAACAGTGGTTGAAGGGAGACACTCGATTTGTTTGTGTGTAAACAAGGGAGATACCAGAGTTGTTTTGTTCAGGCTAGACATGGGAGCTGCTCATTCCTGGCTTTGGGCGCTGTTCCTTGGCGGGAGCTCACAGTGCAATTCGGGAGCGTCACTATGTTGGATCCCAATCAAGGATTTATGACTAGAACTGGTCTGATCACTGCTGAGCTGGGGGTGTGCAGGCGCGTTCATTGACGTCTGGAGCAGAGATCCCCCAGCATGCACTGCTTCCCTGCTTCTCTGGTCCCAGAGTGCCGTGCGGTTCTCGCCTTGGAATCTCTGTTCTCCGTTCTGTAGCTAATGGAGATGTCTCCTTGTCCCATCCTCCATGCAAATGAGGCTAGGGAAGTTTCCTTAATCCTGTCACCCTTGTCCCAGGGGTTTGTGTGCGTCTCCCACGGCCTTGTCATTACTTTTTGTAAGTCTTTCTTCTGATCGGCTTTGGTTCAAGTAGAGGCTGGAGGGTGGTGTCTTTCGTGAGTCAGACAGGCTGGGTACTGCACCCTGGTTCCCCAAGAACACAGAGCTGCTAGGTAACACAAGCCCGGCTTTAAAAACCTCTAAGGAAGGAGATTCCATCACCTCCCTAGGTAACCCATTCCAGTGCTTCACCACCCTCCTAGTGAAATAGTGTTTCCTAATATCCAACCTAGACCTCCCCCACTGCAACTTGAGACCATTGCTCCTTGTTCTGTCATCTGGCACCACTGAGAACAGTCTAGATCCATCCTCTTTGGAACCCCCTTCAGGTAGTTGAAAGCAGCTATCAAATCCCCCCTCACTCTTCTCTTCTGCAGACTAAATAATCCCAGTTCCCTCAGCCTCTCCTCGTAAGTCATGTGCCCCAGCCCCCTAATCATTTTTGTTGCCCTCCACTGGACTCTCTCCAATTTGTCCACATCCTTTCTGTAGTGGGGGCCCAAAACTGGACACAATACTCCAGATGTGGCCTCACCAGTGCCGAATAGAGGGGAATAATCACTTCTCTCGATCTGCTGGCAATGCTCCTACTAATGCAGCCCAAAATGCCGTTAGCCTTCTTGGCAACAAGAGCACACTGCTGACTCATATCCAGCTTATCGTCCACTGTGACCCCCTAGGTCCTTTTCGCAGAACTGCTTCCTAGCCATTCGGTCCCTAGTCTGTAGCAGTGAATGGGATTCTTCCATCCTAAGTGCAGGACTCTGCACTTGTCCTTGTTGAACCTCATCAGATTTCTTTTGGCCCAATCCTCTAATTTGTCTAGGTCACTCTGGACCCTACCCCTACCTTCCAGCATATCTACCTCTCCCCCCAGCTTAGTATCATCCGCGAGAGTAGGATTGAGACAGAGGGGCCTCAGCAGAGGAAGAAGGGGAGAGAGAAAAGACACTGAGGAGAAACACGCACATTGCCGGACCAGATCCGTGCTCCTGCTCAGTGCCCGTCTCTGGCAGTGGCCAGGACCAGCTGCTTCAGAGGAGTAATTACGGAATAACCTGTTCAAAGAGGAGGGTCCTTCCTAACTCCCCCTCCCCCCCATCAGTTAATGCTCAACTCATGCTCTGAAGCAGAAGGTATTTATCCCATATTAACAGAATTAACTATTTTCTGTTAGTCTCAAAGGTGCCACAGGACCCTCTGTTGCTTTTTACAGATTCAGACTAACACGGCTACCCCTCTGATACTTATCCCATATTGCGGCCATACAAAGTGCATTATAAGAACA